TGGGGGCTGGGGATTAAGAAGGAAAAGAAAAAACTTAGGGTCTCCTCTCTTTTTGTTATTGGGTGGGAGAATATTGTTAGGGATTTAGATGTGGCGGTTCTTTGAGCTCTATATAATTCTTTGTACATTAAATTCTTTAGTTGGCCAACTTGACCTCTCCTCTCCTCTCATGCAGATGTAGGCCACCGAATCGAACCATGTAAAAACATAGTGTCTTGTGGTGTTTGTCTTTATTTCAATTTTCAGCCAAGTGTTATTTATCTTTTATTGATTCAATCCTAATATTTTTGTTGTGCCCCACATTCAAATTCTTTGTGCCGCCTCTCTTCTGAATCAGTATTCCCCTCTCTTCTTTTCTTTTTCTTCTCAAAGCATCAATTTGATAAGGTTTTGGATAGTGCTGAAAATGGTGAGAAGTTAGATGCTAGAGCGCCGAAAAAGAGGAGGGACATAATAAACAGTGTGTATCATTAATGTTGATACCCAACCATGTATCTTCGTGTGTGTGCGTGTGTAATGAAGTTAGTTACACTCCATTTGTATTTTAACTTTATATATGAGAAGAAAAAGCCATCTAGTTGAGGTAAGGATAAAGATGTTAAAAACATTATGTAACCCCATGCCTATGCATACATGTATGCACACATACATACATAGTTTCAATGTTGAAAATAATGATAACGCATAACGCAACGCTCTACCCCTTGTTAAGGGTTAAAGAAGAAAAGGCAAAAAAAAACATAACTCGTAATGTAGGTTGTTTTGTTTATTAATTATTTACATATTCTATAAATACAAAACTATTCATGATGACCTTAATAATTAGAATCATCAAAATTTTCAAACTTAACATACAATTAGGAATGATATATTTCCTTACTGTTTAATTTTAAAAATATAGAAATGCTCATAGTAGTTTTAAGCATTAGGATCAAAATATCAATACAAAATATTTTATTAAAAAATACTTAATTTAATACAGGCTATATAGATTATTAGGAAGTATCACAATCGAATATTCAAAAATATACTTGAAAATCTAGAAGTCGTTCATAATTACATTTGATTTAATAGTAATATTCATAATTTCACAATCACACGATGATGTCACCAAAACAAGATACGAAGTTTTGAACAAACAATTCAAAAGTAGTAGATTCTTGCAAAGTTATACAAGCTACCCAAGTTGGGACTTCCACCACATAACATCATCAGCCATGCGTGGTAGGAGCAAGGCAAATAACCTCTTCAAAGTCGGTGCACAAGGATATTAACTTATGGTGTTAAAAAATGACTCTCACAGAAACTAGTGTAGAAAATTATGTTAGCGGGAAGCTTAATAAATTGATAACACAGAACCTAGTGTAGAAAGTTATGTTAGCGGGAAGCTTAAGAAAGTCAAAATGCTTTCCCACAGCGAAAAAAGTGAAAGAAGCATTTCATGGTAACTATTTGTATACAAGGTCAAGCACACATGAACCCAGGAGTTTGAAAATAACCAAGAAAAGGAAGTGTAGGCAAGGTGAAGCCATGTTGTCAAGGTAACTACTTGTATTCATAAACTGAGGATCATACAATTACAAGGTGAAGCCAGATTGTCAAGGTAACTAGTTGTCTAGTTATCTTCATATCTCTGACGATAAATTTCTTGTGTATAGAACGAACATTCATAATCATCATATGCCAATAAACACTTTTCAAGAGTTTTGTCTTAACATTTTAGGGACTATTGTATCAATGTGTCGGCGTAGCAGTTCATAGACGTGTGTGTGCGCACGCGCGTCATAAAACGTACTATCACTACTACCTACTACTATCATATA